CAGTGGCACCATCTTGGCTCACTGCAATCTCCACCTCCCAGGTTCAAATGATTCTCTTGCTTCAGCCTCCCAGAGTAGCTGGGACTACAAGCATGCGCCACCACAGCCAGCTTTTTGTTTTAGTAGAGATGGGGTTTCACCATGTTGACCAAGCTGGTCTGGAACTCCTGACCTCAGCTGATCTGCCCACCTCAGCCTCCCAAAGTGCTGGGATTACAGGGATGAGCTACCGCACCTGGCCAAGTGCTTCAGTTTTATAAGGAATACGTGGCCTCTGGACTGTGTACTGCAGCATATACTATACCAGGGGTTCTTAAATTTCAGTATGCACCAGAATCCCCTGGAGTGCTTATAGGTCCCACCCTCAGTATCAGATTCAGCAGGTCTGGGGTGGGGGTAAGAATTCATTTCTAACAATTTCCAAGTGATGCTGATGCTGGTGGTCTAAGGATCACACTTTGAGAACAATTATACTATATATTACTGGGTTAAATCCAGCAACATTGAATAATTTTTTTTTTTTTTGGAGACGGAGTCTCGCTCTGTTGCCCAGGCTAGAGTGCAGAGGCTCACTGCAAGCTCCGCCTCCAGGTTTAGGCCATTCTCCTGTAGCTGGGACTACAGGTGCCCGCCACCTCGCCCGGCTAGTTTTTTGTATTTGTTGTTGTTGTTGTTGTTGTTGTTGTTGTTGTTGAGACAGTCTCGCTTTGTCGCCGAGACTGGAGTGCAGTGGCCGGATCTCAGCTCACTGCAAGCTCCGCCTCCCGGGTTCACGCCATTCTCCTGCCTCAGCCTCCCGAGTAGCTGCGACTACAGACGCCCGCCACCTCGCCCGGCTAGGTTTTTGTATTTTTTAGTAGAGACAGGGTTTCACCGTGTTAGCCAGGATGGTCTCGATCTCCTGACCTCGTGATCCGCCTGTCTTGGCCTCCCAAAGTGCTGGGATTACAGGCTTGAGCCACCGCGCCCGGCCGTTTTTGTATTTTTTAGTAGAGACGGGGTTTCACCGTGTTAGCCAGGATGGTCTCGATCTCCTGACCTTGTGATCCGCCCGTCTCGGCCTCCCAAAGTGCTGGGATTACAGGCTTGAGCCACCACGCCCGGCCAAATAATTTTTTTTTTAAGAGATACTGTCTGGTTCTGTTGCCTGGCTGGTGAGCAGTGACAGGATCATACATAGCTCACTGCAGCCTTGAACTCGTGGGCTCAAGTTCTCTGCCCATCTCAGCCTCTCAAGTAGCTGAGATCACAGGTATGTACTACACACTCAGCTAATTTTTTTCTTTTTTCTTTTTTGAGACGGAGTCTTGCTCAGTTGCCCAGGCTGGAGTGCGGTGGCAAAAAAATTTTTTGTATTTTTAGTAGAGATAGGGTTTTACCGTGTTAGCCAGGATGGTCTCAATCTCCTGACCTCGTAATCCGCCCGTCTTGGCCTCCCAAAGTGCTGGGATTACAGGTGTGAGCCATCGCGCCCGGCTCAGCTAATTTTTTCTTTTAATTTTTGTAGAAGTGGAGTCTTGTCATGTTGCCCAGGCTGGTCTCAAACTCCTGCCCTGGTGGCTCATGCCTTGGCCTCCCAAAGCTTTAGAATTACAGGCATGAGCCACCATTCCCAGCCCAAAGTTGAATAATTTGTCCATGTTTGTAGTTTATCATTTATAGATGCTATTATATAAAATTTTCTGGTTAGACTGGTGTTCTTCTTTGACTCATCTTTGCCTTTTTTGTAACCCTAGTTCACTAGAAACTAGATTTTACTAACACACTTGGTTTATAAAACTGTTAGTAGGCAGACTTTTTTCTGGCATCCGTGTTTACAGTGATGACATATAATTTACAGTGATGATATATAAATCAGTAAAAGGATTACTATTGTCTACAATGAGAACCAGTTTTTTCCAACCTAACTCCACTTTCATCAAAATCTGAATCAGCTGGGCACAGTGGCTCATGCCTGTAATCTCAGCACTTTGGGAGGCCGAGGCGGGCAGATCACGAGGTCAGGAGATTGAGACCATCCTGGCTAACACGGTGAAACCACGTCTCTACTAAAAATACAAAAAAAAAAAAAATTAGCGGGGCGTGGTGGTGGGCGCCTGTAGTCCCAGCTACTCGGGAGGCTGAGGCAGGAGAATGGTGTGAACCCAGGAGGCAGAGCTTGCAGTGAGCTGAGATCGCACCACTGTACTCCAGCCTGGGCGAAACAGCGAGACTCCATCTCAAAAAAAAAAAATCTGAATCAATGACATGAAGGTTGAGGGGTAGAGAGTGGCGAGAAAATGATTTTCCTGTTAGGAAAGGAAGTTAACATTTATTGGCTATTATGTGCTAGGTACAGTGCTAGGTGCTTTCTTATACATTATTGAACACTTCTTTCAATCCCTTCACAAGGGCAAGTTTTTTGTTTTTTTTTTTTAAGATGGAATGGAGTCTTGCTCTGTTGCCCAGGCTGAAGCGCAATGGCGTGATCTTAGCCCACTGCAGCCTCCGCTTCCTGGGCTCAGGTTATTTTCCTGGGTCAGCCTCCCGAGTAGCTGGAAATTACAGGCATGCGCCACCATGCCTGGCTAATTTTTGCATTTTTAGTAGAGACAGGGTTTTGCCACGTTGGCCAGGTTGGTCTCGAATTCCTGACCTCAGATGATCCACCCACCTTGGCCTCCCAAATTGCTGGGATTACAGGCGTGAGCCACTGCGCCCAGCCTGCATGTTCTTTCTTTGTGGAACACCACCCACGCCGACTAAACTACATTCCCTGTTTCTCTCTTAAAGCACCCTGTTCGGCCGGGCGCGGTGGCTCAAGCCTGTAATCCCAGCACTTTGGGAGGCCGAGACGGGCGGATCACGAGGTCAGGAGATCGAGACCATCCTGGCTAACACGGTGAAACCCCGTCTCTACTAAAAAATACAAAAAAAACTAGCCGGGCGAGGTGGCGGGCGCCTGTAGTCCCAGCTACTCGGGAGGCTGAGGCAGGAGAATGGCGTGAACCCGGGAGGCGGAGCTTGCAGTGAGCTGAGATCCGGCCACTGCACTCCAGCCTGGGCGACAGAGCGAGACTCCGTGTCAAAAAAAAAAAAAAAAAAAAAAAAAAAAAAAAAAAAAAAGCACCCTGTTCTTTTCCTTCAGCACACTTGAACTTATAATTCACATATGGTATTTGTTTCTTTCTTTAACATCTGACTCCCACTGCAGAGGACCATGAGGGCAAGGACAATGTCTATTTTGCTAATCACCAAATCTTCAGTACCTAGCACAGTGCCTGCAAACAGTAGGCACTGAGTGATCTGTTAAAGGAATAACTTGCAGGCTTATGCCTTAGTAGATTGGTAATGCCATCCACTGAGGCCAGAAACACAGAGGAACAAGAATTAACAATGGCTATTGCTACTGAAGTAACTCCACTCTTCTACATAGTTTTGAGGCTTCTATTAATCTGGGCACATTGCTCCATTCCTTCCTATTTCACTGGACACCCTTCCTCACAGTTGTCTGCACCTTCATCCTTATTTTTCCAAATTCTTACTTAGAAGCTCACCCTCTTCTTCTTCTCGAATTTAAGTTACCTTTTTTTAAAGACTCACTTCCCCAAAGTTGCTTCTCCTGATTCAAACTTTGGAACAGCTATCACCGGCCTGGATACAAATTTCTAAAGTGCCAGCCTGGGAAAATCCTATGAGAACAGAATCTCCACTAAGGCAGAAACTTGTTTCACTATTAACTCACCAACACCAAGAACACATTCTAGCACAGTCAATGCATCATACTGTGAAAAGAATTAAAGAATTTAAAGCTGGAATGAGTTGGAACAAATGTGAGCTGGTATCTTGGTTATCTGCAGGCTATGCGGTCTCAAGCAAATGACTAAGTTCACCTAAGTCCATTTCTTCAGTTAAGAAATGAAGCTGGTTCTCCCAGAAAGCTCATATTGCCCAGACTGTAATAGAGATGATGATGATAGGGTGATGGGCCTTTTTAAATTGTGGAAACAGGCCGGGCGCGGAGGCTCAAGCCTGTAATCCCAGCACTTTGGGAGGCCGAGTCGGGCGGATCACGAGGTCAGGAGATCCAGACCATCCTGGCTAACACGGTGAAACCCCGTCTCTACTAAAAAATACAAAAAACTAGCCGGGCGAGGTGGCGGGCGCCTGTAGTCCCAGCTACTCGGGAGGCTGAGGCAGGAGAATGGCGTAAACCTGGGAGGCGGAGCTTGCAGTGAGCTGAGATCCGGCCACTGCACTCCAGCCTGGGCGACAGAGCGAGACTCCGTCTCAAAAAATAAATAAATAAATAAATAAATAAATAAATAAATAAATAAATAAATTGTGGAAACAGGCTCACGCCTGTAATCCCAGTACTTTAGGAGGCTGAGGCGAGAGGATCACTTGCGGTCAGGAGTTCAAGACCAGCCTGGCCAACATGGTGAAACACCATTTCTACTAAAAATACAAAAATTAGCGGGGAATAGTGGCGGGAGCCTGTAGTCTCAGCTACTTAGGAGGCTGAGGCAGGAGAATCACTTGAACTCAGGAGGCGAAGGTCGCAGTGAGCTGAAATCACACCCCTGCACTCCATCCAGCCTGAGCAACAGAGCAAGACTTCATCTCAAAAAGTAAATAAATACATAAATAAATAGTGGAAACACCGCGGAAGAAAAACGATCGCTGAAGAGCCTGTGCACTCACATTTTTTAATTTTTACAACAGCTTCCGGGGGAAGGCGATTCCACTTTAGAGTTTTTCTTCCTTTCTAGCTGGGAGTTACCCTCCAAATTTTAACCTAATGATGTAAGCAAAATAAGCACACTGAAGAGGCTGAGAAGAAAAACGGCTCACGACAGTCTGAGCTCTGTGAGGTCTGCAAAATGTATAAGGCCTAGAGGGACATCAGTATGGGACTTCGGTTATGCCCACCCCCTGCCCCCACATACACAATCCCATGCACACCCAATTGTCTAAAGTCATTTCATTCCTGACTATCGGCCTCATCCATTACCTTTTTTTTTTTTTTTTTTTTAAGACAGGGTATACTCTGTCTCCCAAGCTGGAGTGCAGTGGTGCGATCATGACTCACTGCAGCCTCGACCTCCTGGGCTCAAGAGATCCTCCTGTCTCAGTCTTGACAGTAGCTGAGGCTACAGGTCCGCGCCACCAAGCCGGCCCCATTATCTTCGTATTCTTAGAATTTGTAATAGACCCCGGACGCGGTGGCTCACTCCTGTAATGCCAGCACTTTGGGAGGCAGAGGCGGGCAGATCACCTGAGGTCAGGAGTTCGAGACCAGCCTGACCAACACAGGGAAACCCCGTCTCTATTAAACATACAAAAATTACCTGGGCATTGGGGCGCGCGCCTGTAGCCCCAGGACTCCGTCTCTAAAAAAGGAAAAAGAATTTATCATACAAATAACAACAGGTAGCCAATTGATAGTTTTTTTTTTTTTTTTTTGAGACGATGTGTCGCCCAGCTGGAGTGCAGTGGCGCGATCTCGGCTCACTGCAACCTCCGCCTCCCGGGTTCAATCGATTCTCCCGCCTCAGTCTGCCGCGGATTGCCAGGGTCCGCGCTGAGAGGACGTCAGGGGAGTCAGTCCCCCAGAATAACGGCTGAGCATGAGGGCTGCCTAACCTTGAAATCCAGCGCCCTCCTGATCCACACGTCCTAAGACGAATAAATCCTCACAGTCTTTGTGAAAACCCACCAGCAGAAGCACGTCCAAAAGTCTTCACCTCCCCAAACAAGTGTCAGAAGCGGGAAAACCAACGCCGCGAATGGGCGGGAAAGCCACAGCGCCTGCAACCGCTTCACCTTATTAGCTAATTTTGCTGTCCTTCTCAGTGGCCCGCCTCCCTTGCTCGCGGGCGATATTTTCATTGGCTTTCGTCTGCTAGGCGTCCAATCTCATTGGTTTGCTTTTCTGTTCGTCAGGTTTGGGTGCCTGGTGAAAGGCGGAGAGGGCGTCACTATTGGGCTGGAAGCCCCGCCTCCGCGTGCCGTGTGCAAAAACAAACAGCCGTTAGGTAGGCGGTGCCGGGGGGGCGGGGTCTGGCTAGAAGGAGGCGCGCGATTGAACAGCCGCTGGGGTTCGAACCAGTAAGACAAGCGGGCATTGGCCACAGCAGCGCGAGGCGGGCACGGGGTATTGTCCGGCTCCGGCGGCGGCGGTCGGTGCTGCGAGAGCGGCGGCGGCGGCGCGGGTCGTCAGCGGGAGGGCGCGCGGCCGAGCGGAGGCAGAGTCGGCGCCGAGAACATGGTAAGAGCGGCCGGGTGGGTCGGGGGCACGGGGCCTAGGACAGGGCCGGGGGAGCAGAGCGCGGAGGCCCCGGCGTCGGCGCCGCTACCTGTGGAGTCGGGAGTTTGCGGGTGTCGGGGCTTCGTCCGGCCGAGCCCTTCGCCACCCGCCGGGGGGCGCCATATCCCGGCTGCGGAGCCCGACACGGGTCCCCGGGTGAGAGCTGGGCCTGGCTGGGTAGAGCGCGAAGTCTGTTCCGATCCGGACAGGTCTGTCCCGACGCTGGTGACGCTGCACCGCCCGTCTTAGAAGGAGGAGGACGCCAGAATCCGGCTTGGAAAGGTAGAAACAAGTGCCGGATCTTAATGTGATCGCTCCTCTGTATGAATGAGGTCAAACCGGCTGCCGCTATACAAGTTAGATAAGTCTTTGGCGATGTTTGGTTACGTAATCTCTCTGGCTGTCAATTTAAGGGTTTCTGCGAAAGGGTGCTTGTATTTGTAGTCTTTTGAGCTACAAAGAATGGTTTTATAGACCAGAACCACACGATTTGTTCTAGGTGATTGCACAGGTTTGAAATGAACGCCCATTATCTTCTGACCCCCATGCAGTTTGCGGTTTTCATTATAAAACGGTACTTTCCTTTGCCCTTGCTATGAATTTTCAGTCTTAAAGCATTCATCTTTTCATTCTGAAATTCAGATCTAGATTAGAAAAGTGTGGCTTTAAAAAATGAAAGTGAATAGAACTTCAGCCCCATTTTAAAGTTGAGGGAAAGGAGAAAGTGCTAAATGATACGCTCTGAGTTGCATCAAAGATTGTGTAAAAATAGTAAGACTGTTATTATGGAATCTTATTTTTGCCGGTATTCGTGCTTTAAGCATTCTGTTGAAAGGTTACTTCAACGGGAGCTACCTGCTTAAAAGTTAACACCAGGCTGTCATTTCTTATACTGCAGATAATATTAGATGATTTGTGCTTGATGTGTCAGATACGGTATTTAATAGACTTAACACCTAACTATAAACAGATTGGCCAGTCGAGAGGACAAAATGTTTGGTTATTGTAAAATACCCAAATCTTATAGCTGGAATAGACTTTAGGGACAATTGCTTCCAACGTCTAACGTATAGTTTATTGTTATTGTAAAGTACTATACTTTAACAAACTGAGGTACAGCCTACATCTAATCTGTTAACGGATTTGCTCAAACAGATGATTTTCATGATTGTAGTTTTTTGTTTGTTTGTTTTGAGACGGAGTCTCAGTCTGTCGCCAGGCTGGAGTGCAATGGCGCGATCTTGGCTCACTGCAACCTCCATCTCCTGGGTTCAAGCGATTCTCCTGCCTCAGCCTCCCGAGTAGCTGGGACTACAGGTGTGCGCCACCACGCCCAGCTAATTTTTTGTATTTTTAGTAGAGATTGGGGTTCACCATGTTGGCCAGGATGGTCTCGATTTCTTGACCTCGTGATCCGCCTGCCTCGGCCTCACAAAGTGCTGGGATTACAGGTGTGAACCACCGCGCCCGGCCGATTCTAGTTTCTTAGATATTTTTCAGTCTCTAGTGATACGCTATATGTTTTACATCCACTTACCAGTAGCTAAAAATACATAAGTATTAACATAAGCTAAAATGCAGGAGACATTGAGTTGTCGTTCTTGATAGATTTTAAACCTGAAAGGAAGTAAGCAGATGTCTGTTAAAACTGACATGAAAGTGTCTTAGTATCCAGTTTGCAAGTTTATCCAAGTGAAATGAACTCCCTCTTCCTCTTGTGTGTGTGTGTGTGTGTGTGTGTGTGTAATTTTTAAAAACCAGCAACCTTAACTCAGGTTAATATGAAGTCAATTCTTGGAATTAAAAAATTATATTTGGTTTCTCAAGCACCAATTAAAATGAATGTTCAAAGTAGGGAGGCTATATATACAGTTTGAGGGGATATCGGAAAGAAAGTAATTATCCATTTATTATATAATTTTATATTCAGAAAAGTTTGATACCATGAAAGTTTTCTTTTGTTAAGTATGAGAATTGTATCGAGAGTCTCTAAATATTGGAACTAGTCATTTAATGTATTGAGGCTTTTAAAATCTGACTATATGTCTACTTCTTTAAAAAGCAAATAGAACAGCAAATATGACGTATCTGAAACAGTGAGGATAAAATTGCTTAAGCAGAGTAGTTATTATATGACCTGGGGAGCCTGGGGAGTTTTGTAGTTGTTGGCTTTTCATTAGTGACTAGTTCTTATTTTTTCCAATCCAGTCATAGGAAGACAGTGATTATAATTTTAGATGCCAGTTGAGAGGTTTTTAAGTGTTATATATTAGGCAAATAGAGATAAAAAGGGTTTTTTATTTGAGAAGTAAGACCTGTCTTGTTAGGGGAGCCGACCTCAAAAATCCAAAAATTATATTTTTCTTATATAACAACATAGTCAAAATTATTGAAATATATGAGGCATTCTGGTAGAAATCAAGAGCATCTCAGTTCTTACTGATAAACTTAAATCAGTCTCTTGCTGAATTACCTAATGTAAGAGAGTGAGTATGAATTAGTTCTTAGATTTTTATTTTTCCTGTTTCTAATACCTGCCAAGGTTTTACTGTTTTTCTTCCATATTATCTTGGGTGACGCGCTTAATTCACTTAGACGTGATTAGAGGAAGTATACAGGGGTAATTTTTAGCTTTAAAAAATCTTTAAGGAAAGGGTTAGCTACAAAGGGGATATGCCATTTCAAAGCTTACTATCTGTTTTGAAAGTATAGCCCCTCAAACAGCCAATCCTGTAAACTGATTTAACAGTAAAGAAATAATCTATTTAAATGGTAAAAACAAAATATATGAGAGAAAATTAGTTTTCTTAAGTCAGACCCTTAGTATTTCCTCCTTAGAGGCAAATAGCATTTCTAATTTATTGTGTCACCTTCTAGAAATATGTGTGTACACACATACCCCATATTTACTTAATAGCTCATTACATTTGCACATACTTTACCTTTTTCATGCAGAAATAGGGTTTTTTTTAAGCGTACAGTTCAGTGGCATTAAGTACATTTATAGTGTGCAACCATCACTGCCATCTGTCTCAAACTTTTTCATCTTCCCAAGTAGAAACTCTACCCATTCAACAGTAACTCGGCCAGGCGCAGTGGCTTACGCCTGTAATCCTAGTACTTTGGAAGGGCAAGGCAGACAGATCGCTTGAGGTCAGGAGTTCAAGACCAGCCTGGCCAACGTACGGAAGCCTTGTTGGTACTAAAAATACAAAAATTAGCAGGGTGTGGTGGTGCACACCTGTACTACCAGCTACTTAGGAGGCTGAGGCAGGAGAATCACTTGAACCCAGGAAGCAGCTACCCCCCTGGCAACCACAAATCTGCTGACTATGAACTTTACTATTTTAGGAACCTCATAAGTAGAATCATATGGTATTTGTCTTTTTTGTAACTGTCTTATTTTCCTTAGCATAATGTCCTCAAGGCCCATTTATGTTGTAGCTTGTGTCAGAATTTCCTTTTTAAAGCTGAATACTATCCCATTATATATATATGATTTTGTTCATCCATCATTGGACACTCAAGATTGTTTCCACCTTTTGGCTATTCTGAATAAAGCTTCTGTGAACATGGGTGTACAAGTATTTGTTTGAATCCTTGCTTTCAATTTTTGGGTGTGTACCTAGAAGTGGAATTGTTAGACTATATGACAATTCTGTGTTTAATTTTTTGAGGGTTTTTTTTTCTTGGAATATGCTTTATTTTTCTGAGAGTTCTAAATATTTCTGTGGAAGTAATATATGTTACATTGACATTGATAAAAATTGTGAAATATTTCATGTATGCATAAAAGTTATATTGACTTGCAACATTCTTCAATCTGGAAATTGATAAATATGTTAGCTTTTAGAAATCTCATATTTTTCAGCCTGGCACTGTGGCTCATGCCTGTAATCCCAGCACTTTGGGAGGCCAAAGCGGGTGGATCACTTGAGGTCAGGAGTTCAAGACCAGCCTGGCCAACATGGTGAAACCTCATCTGTACTAAAAATGCAAAAATTAGCTGTGTGTGGTGGTGCACACCTGTAATCTCAGCTACTCAGGAGCCTGAGGCAGGAGAATCACTTGAGCCTGGGAGGCGGAGTTTGCAGTGAGCCAAGATTGCCCCACTGCACTCCAACCTGGACAACAGAGCTAGACTCCATCTCAAAAAAAAAAGAAAAAAGAAAAATCTCATATTTTCAATAAGCGTTTAAGGTTTGACTTCTTTGATAGAAATTATAAAAGGTGATAGAATCCCATGTATATGAGGAAGAGGATCACCTACATATTTTTAACTACCTAAAGTAAAAGTAGAAGAAATTCTGTTTCCAGAATATTTTTGAAGTAGTGTTTTCAACTCTTTTCATTCAAAAAATTTTTTTTGCATTTAGGCTGGAGGCAAAGCTGGAAAGGACAGTGGGAAGGCCAAGGCTAAGGCAGTATCTCGCTCACAGAGAGCTGGGCTACAGGTAATGAATCCATGCTGTCGTTACATTACTATTTTCTTTACTGTTGTAATTTATGACCTATGTTTCATCGATTACAGAAGTCTACTTGTATTACTACAAACTTTTTTTTTTTTTTTTTTTGAGACAGAGTCTCGCTCTATCACCAGGTTGTAGTGCAGTGGTGCGATCTCGGCTCACTGCAACCTCTGCCTCCTGGATTCAAGCGATTCTCCTGCCTCAGCCTCCTGCATGGCTGGGACTACAGGTGCGCACCACCATGCCCAGCTAGTTTTTGTATTTTTAGTAGAGACGGGGTTTCACCATGTTGGCCAGGATGGTCTCAATCTCTTGACCTCGTGATCCGCCCGCCTCAGCCTCCCAGAGTGCTGGGATTACAGGCGTGAGCCACTGTGCCTGGCCGAGAAATACTTTTAATCAGGAAACTTGGAAGGCCAAACTGTAAACTGTTATCCTCTTGGCAGTGGTAAGCCATTGAGAGTTTAAGCAAGAGGACAGCATGATCCAGATGATACCGAAAGAAGGGGGATGGGAATTTATATTGATGTGCACATTCTGTATTTTAGGTTTCCATGTATATTCCTAATTAGAACTTATTTTAAGGCATACTTAATTTGAAGTAGAAAATGGAAGGCCAATGGAGATTATTGCAGTGATTTAGGAATAAAGTAACATACTTGAATGGGAAGCAGTAGAAATCATGTGTGTGCAGAAAATAGGTGAAGCAGTATAAGGTTAAGAGGAAGTCAGAAGTTTCTCTAAGGCTTAGAACCTAAGGAACAGAGGAGTTTGTAATAGGGTCAAGTTATGAGTAAATTTAAATGGGATCATTTTGAAGTTCACTAAAACATCCACGTGAAAATGTCCAGAAGTTGGAAACATGAGTTCAGCTTTCTAAGAGAGGTGATAGAATTAGGAATTTGAGATCATTTATGTAAAATTGATAGTTTATGTTATGGATGAGTTTCCTAACCTAAGAGAATGAGAAAGGAGCACAAGGATATTTGAGGACCCCTCAAAAACTTTAAGAAAAGGCTGAGGAGTAGTCAGGGTTGGTATGAGAATTCTGAAGTCTAAGAAGAAATGTTTTTGAGGGCCTACTGTATGCCAGACAACATACTGGTTACTAAGGATACAAAGGAAAAGAAGACAAATCTTGCTCTTAAGAAGCTTTTGGTCACTTAGAGACGAAGTATAAATGCAAAAAAAAAAAAAGATTGCTTGTGTTTATTAAGGAAGTAAAATGTCACTGCTGGCCTTCAAAAGTACTGTTTAACAGAAACCAAGTTAGGGTTAGGAAAAAATGGGTGACAAAGTAAGGGTTTCAGGATTTGTTTTTTAAATTCAGTCTTTGGAAAGAGACTTTCTAGACCGTAACTGGAAGCAGTTTTCATAGATTGTGAAGTTTTCAGTAAAGTCTGTAGAAGGAAAGAAACCAGCGGAAAGGAAGTAATTGTAGCTGTTGAAATAATGCAACAGTGAAGGCATGAGGTAGGCCTGTAAGAAAGGGCACAGACAGGCTGGGCGCAGTGGCTCATGCCTGTAATCCCAGCACTTTGGGAGGCCAAGGTGGGCAGATTACACAAAACCCCGTCTCTACTAAAAATACAAAACAGCCAGGCGTCCTGGCGTGCCTATAATCCCACCTACTCAGGAGGCTGAGGCAGGAGAATCGCTTGAAACCCGGGAGGCGGAGGTTGCAGTGAGCCAAGATGGCACTACTGCACTCCAGCCTCAGCGACAGAGTGAGACTCTGTCTCAATAAAAAAAATAATAAAGGGCACAGACAAGTGGGATTAGGATACTCTGAAATGAGAAAAGTACCCTCTTTTTCGGAAAGTAGAATCACAATGAGATAATAGTACTGATTTTTCTTAACTATCAGATCACCTCTTGAAACTGAAGAAAGAACATTTAATAAGATCTGAGGAAGGTATTGGAGGTTCAAAGTTGCATGTGCCTTTTATCTGAAGAAATTAACTAGACAGGAATTTGATCAATGGGTCATGTTGAATGTATAGTTGATGACAGCCCTGCATGGTTTTTCTTCATTTTAGAGTGATATTCTCCATATTAAGCAGAGGTTAAAGATTTTGATTTTGATTACCAGAACATAGACACAGGCCCTGGGAACTGTTAATTGCCTAATAGATTTGACTTCTGATATGTGTGATCAACTTTTTTATTATTTCATGCTTACTCACATTTTTTCAGCCTTTGATTACAGTCAGTGCAATGTTAAGACTCTGCAGTGCTTCCCACTAAGACATCTCTCTTTTAGTTTCCTGTGGGCCGCATTCACAGACACTTGAAGACTCGCACCACAAGCCATGGAAGGGTGGGTGCCACTGCTGCCGTGTACAGTGCTGCGATTCTGGAGTACCTCACTGCAGAGGTTTGTACAGGAATGTCTGTTGTATATGGCAGTCCAGAAGGTGCACTAGTCTAAGTGACATAAACCCATGGAATATATTTGAAAAAAGACATATTATGCTCATTGGGGCTTTTTTGTTTTTTTGGAGATAGAGTTTCACTCTTGTTTCCCAGGCTGGAGTGCAATGGCCAGTCTCCGCTCACTGCAACCTCTGCCTCCCGGATTCAAGCAATTCTCCCACCTCAGCCTCCCAAGTAGCTAGGACTACAGGTGTGCACCACCGTGCCCAGCTAATTTTTGTATTCTTAGTTGAGACAGGGTTTCACCATATTGGCCACACTGGTCTCAAACTCCTGACCAGGTGATCCACCTGCCTCGGCCTCCCAAAGTGCTGGAATTACAGGCTTGAGCCACCACGTCCGGCCTCATTGGTTTCTTTAACAGCGCAGTTTGAGATGCATCTTGTCAGCTATTACCCAATACTAATGTGAAAGAACCTTGGTGTACTTGTTTTTAAAGCTAAGCAAGGGACTGGGCACGGTGATTCACGCCTGTAATGCCAGCACTTTGGGAGGCTGAAGTGGGTAGATTGTACACTTGAGTCCTGGAGTTCCAGACTAGGCTGTGTGACAGAGCAAGACCCTATCTCAAAGTAAAAAAATTTTTTAAAGTTAAGCAAAGGCCAGCAATCTCTTATCTTTTATTTTCATTTATATAAATAAATATATATGGCTCAAGCCTGTAATCCCAGCACTTTGGGAGGCCGAGGCGGGTGGATCACGAGGTCAGGAGATCGAGACCATCCTGGCTATATTTATTTATTTTTTTTTTTTTTTTTTGAGGCGGAGTCTCGCTGTGTCTCCCAGGCTGGAGTGCAGTGGCGTGATCTCGGCTCACTGCAAGCTCCGCCTCCCGGGTTCACGCCATTCTCCCGCCTCAGCCTCCCGAGTAGCTGGGACTACAGGCGCCCGCCACCTCGCCCGGCTAAGTTTTTGTATTTTTAGTAGAGACGGGGTTTCACTGTGTTAGCCAGGATGGTCTCGATCTCCTGACCTCGTGATCCGCCCGTCTCGGCCTCCCAAAGTGCTGGGATTACAGGCTTGAGCCACCGCGCCCGGCCATAAATATATATTTATATTGAGACTGGGTCTCACTCTGTCACCTAGGCTGGAGTACGGTGGCATGATCATAGCTCATTCCAACCTCAAACCTCCTGGGTTCAAGGGATCCTCCTGCCTCAGCCTCCCTGGTAACTGTGACTTCAGGTTTGTGCCACCACACCTGGCTAATTTTTTTTTTTTTGAGATAGAGTCTTGCTCTGTATTCCAGGTGGAGCGCAGTGGCGCAATCTTGACTCACTGCAACCTCCACCTCTTGGTTCAAGCAATTCTCCTGCCTCAGCTTCACCAGTAACTGGGATTACAGGCACCCGCCACCACACCTGGCTAATCTTTGTATTGTTAGTGGAGACGGGGTTTCACCATGTTGGCCAGGTAAGTCTTGAATTCCTGACCTCAGGTGATCCACCCACCTCAGCCTCTCAAAGTGCTGAGATTACAGGTGTGAGCCACCACTCCAGTTGCTAATTTTTTATTTTTATTTTTTGTGGAGTTGGGGGCTCCCTATGTTGCCCAGACTGGTTTCCAACTCCTAGCCTCAAGTGGTCCTCCCAAGGTGCTGGGATTACAGACATAAGCCACCATACCCCAGTGAACTTTGAAGTATGTATATAATCAGTAGAAGTATTTGTGAAGTTACAGCATAATGTTTTAGTTTATGAAGATTTGCGATGATGTAAAGTTTTGCCAGTGTGATGATACATAAAAATCACAAATATGATATTAGAAGTAAAAGACTCAATCTGTTCTTCTGGTTCTCTGCAGGATTATACATACAAAATTGCTGTATCTTACTTAGTTTGAAATTTCAGAAAGACGAGTTAATTGGGCAAGAGTTCTTAATTCTTGGGTCGTAGACCACCACTTTCCCCATCCGTATTCCTCCTAAAAAAAAAATCCATTGGGAAGTCGTGAAACTTCACCTACATTCCAGGCTGGGGAAGTAATTTGAGTAACATTCTGGTAGAAACAGAAGGGTCTTACTTGGGGAAGATGTGATTGGGAGCTAGGCTGAGGAATTTAGCTTTTAATCTGTATGTCAGTTATCATTGCTGTTATTTTTTCATTAATCTCACCAAGTCATCTGTGTCCCACTGGGAATTTAACATTGAATTATGGATATTATGGATAGTTTCAACTTAGCTGTGTCATGATTAAGAGGTGTTTTGTTTTTTGGGGTTTTCTTGTTTGTTTTGAGACAGGGTCTCTCTCTGTCTCCCAGGCTGGAATGCAGTGGCATGATCTCTGCGCATTGCAACCTCTGCCTTCTGGGTTCCAGCAATTCTCCCACCTCAGCCTCCGGAGTAGCTAGGGCTAGCGGTATACATCACCACACCCGGCTAATTTTTGTTATTTTCTTGTAGAGACAAGGTTTTGCCATGTTAGCCAGGCTGATCTCAAACTCCTGGATCTGCCCACCTCAGCCTCCCAAAGTGCTGGGATTACAGACATGAGCCACCTTCTATTAAAAGAGGCCACCCGGCCGGGCGCGGTGGCTCAAGCCTGTAATCCCAGCACTTTGGGAGGCCAAGACGGGCGGATCACGAGGTCAGGAGATCGAGACCATCCTGGTTAACACGGTGAAACCCCATCTCTACTAAAAAATACAAAAAATTAGCCGGGCGCGGTGGTGGGCGCCTGTAGTCCCAGCTACTCGGGAGGCTGAGGCAGGAGAATGGCGTGAACCCGGGAGGCGGAGCTTGCAGTGAGCTGAGATCCGGCCACTGCACTCCAGCCCGGGCGACAGAGCGAGACTCTGTCTCAAAAAAAAAAAAAAAAAAAAAAGAGGCCACCTGGCCTCTTGTATTTTTTTAAATTTTTCGATTTTAATTTTAATTAAAATACATTTTTAAACTTTTCTAAAAGCGTTAAGAAATTTCATAGCTGGGCACTGTGGCCCACGCCTGTAATCCCAACACTTTGGGAGGCTGAGGTGGGCGAATCATGAGGTCAAGAGATCAAGACCATTCTGGCCAACATGGTGAAACCCCATCTCTACTAAAAATACAAAAATTAGCTGGGCATGGTGGCGGGCACCTATATATAATCCCAGCTACTCAGGAGGCTGAGGCAGGAGAGTCGCTTGAATCCAGAAGGCAGAGGTTGCAGTGAGCCGAGATCACGCCACTGCACTCCAGCCTGGCAGCAGAGCGAGACTGCATCTCAAAAAAAATAAAAATAAAAGGCCGGGCGCGGTGGCTCAAGCCTGTAATCCTAGCACTTTGGGAGGCCGAGACGGGCAGATCACGAGGTCAGGAGATCGAGACCATCCTGGCTAACACAGTGAAACCCCGTCTCTACTAAAAAATACAAAAAACTAGCCAGGCAAGGTGGTGGGCGCCTGTAGTCCCAGCTACTCGGGAGGCTGAGGCAGGAGAATGGCGTAAACCTGGGAGGCGGAGCTTGCAGTGAGCTGAGATCCGGCCACTGCACTTCAGCCTGGGTGACAGAGTAAGACTCCGTCTCAAAAAAAATAAAAAAATAAAAAAAATAAAAAATAAAAATAAAAAAGAAAGAAATTTCAGCTATTAAGGATTGTGCAGAAATAGACCACGTGGATATATTAAAATATATGACTTTGGCTGGGTGTGGTGGCTTATATTCAGCATTCTGGTTCACAAGGTTCAAGCCCCATCTAAGCACCCCTTTTTTTAATCTTTGGGAACTTTGGTGAAAATGTTTAAAGTTAACACAGTGAGTCATGCCTATAATCTCAGCACTTTGGGAGGTCAAGGCAGGCAGATCATTTCAGTCCAGGACTTCCAGACCAGCCTGGACAACATGGCAAAACCCTGACTCTACAAAAAAAATACAAAAAATTAACCAGATGTGATAGTATGCACCTGGAGTCCCAGCTACTGGAGAGGCTGAGGTGGGAGGATTACCTGAGCCCAGGGGGTTGAGGCTGCAGTGAGCCATGTATTGCACCACTGCACTTCAGTCTGCATGACAGTGAGACAGTGTCTTTAAAAAAAAAAACAGGCTGGGCGCGGTGGCTCACGCCTGTAATCCCAGCACTTTGGGAGGCCGAGGCTGGCGGATCATGAGGTCAGGAGATTGAGACCATCCTGGCTAACATGGTGAAACCCCGTCTCTACTAAAAATACAAAAAAATTAGCCGGGAGTGGTGATGGGCGCCTGTAATCCCAGCTTCTCGGGAGGCTGAGGCAGGAGAATGGCGTGAACCCGGGAGGCGGAGCTTGCAGTGAGCTGAGATCGCGCCACTGCACTCCAGCCTGGGTGACAAAGCAAGACTCCGTCTCAAAACAAACAAACAAAAACAATTTAGGTCAAGATTAGACAATGAATGTGTGGGTGCAGTCAACCTTATTTATTTATTTTTTTTAAATGGACTCTTGCTCTGTCGCCCAGGCTGGAGTTCAATGGCACGATCTCAGCTCCTGCAACCTCCACCTCCCGGGTTTAACAACTCTGCTGCCTCAGCCTCCCGAGTAGCTGGGATTACAGGCGTGTGCCACCACACCCGGCTGATTTTTGTATTTTTAAAGTTCAGTTGATTCTCATGTATACCCAACACTGCTCTATTTAAAACGAAGAGGTGGCCTGGCACAGTGGCTCAGGTCTGTAATCCCAAAACTTTGGGAGGCCGAGGCAGGCAGATCACAAGGTCAGGAGTTTGAGACCAGCCTAGCCAATATGGTGAAATCCTGTGTCTGGTGTTTTGGTTTTTTTTTTTTTTTTGAGAAGGAGTCTGCTCTGTCGTCCAGGCTGGAGTGCAGTGGCGCCATCTTGGCTTACTGCAAGCTCTGCTTCCTGGGTTCACGCCATTCTCCTGCTTCAGCCTCCTGAATAGCTGGGACTACAGGTACCTGCCACCACGCCTGGCTAATTTTTTTTGTATTTTTAGTAGAGATGGGGTTTCACTGTGTTAGCCAGGATGGTCTCGATCTCCTGACCTCGTGATCTGCCCATCTCAGCCTCCCAAAGTGCTGAGATTACAGGCGTGAGCCACTGCGCCCAGCCAAAACCCCATCTCTACTAAAAATATACAATTACCCGGGCATGGTGGCATGCGCCTGTAGTCCCAGCTGCTTCGGAGGCTGGGGCAGGAGAATCATTTGAACCCAGGAGGCAGTGGTTGCAGTGAGCTGAGATCACGCCATTGCACTCCAGCCTGGGCAACACAGCAAGACTTCATCGGAGGCCGAGACGGGCGGATCACGAGGTCAGGAGATCGAGACCATCCTGGCTAACACGGTGAAACCCCGTCTCTACTAAAAAATACAAAAAACTAGCCGGGCGAGGTGGCGGGCGCCTGTAGTCCCAGCTACTCGGGAGGCTGAGGCAGGAGAATGGCGTAAACCCGGGAGGCGGAGCTTGCAGTGAGCCGAGATCGCGCCACTGCACTCCAGCCTGGGTGACAGAGCCAGACTCCGTCTCAAAAAAAAAAAAAAAAAAAAGATATTATTTTAAATTATATTTTAGGCTGAGTGCGATGGCCCACACCTGTATTCCCAGCACTTTGAGAGGCTGAAGTAGGAGGATCACTTGAGGCCAAGGGTTTGACACCGGCCCTGGCGACATAGTGAGGTCCCATCTCTTTTATTTTTAAAAAATTTAAAAAATACATTTGAAAACTTCTAAAAGCATTAGGAAATGCATTTCAGCTATTAAGGGTTGTACAAAAATGGACTATAAGTATATATTAAAATATGTGACTTTGGCTGGGTGTGGCAGTTTACAGTTGTAATCCCAGCACTTTGGGAGGCTGAGGCGGGTGGATCACGAGGAGGTCAGGAGATCAAGACCATCCTGGCTAACATGGTGAAACCCGCCTCTACTAAAAATACAAAAAATTAGCCGGGCGTGGTGGCGGACACCTGTGGTCCCAGCTACTCAGGAGGCTGAGGCAGGAGAATGGTGCGAACCCGGGAGGCAGAGCTTGCAGTGAGCCGAGATTGCGCCCCTGGCCCTCCAGCCTGGGTAACAGAGTGAGATTATGTCTCAAAAAAAAGAAAAGAAAAATGTGTTATCAGTTTATGTAATGTTTGTGCGTTTTGTATGTACAAATGCTAAGTGATCCTTCATTTGGAATCCAACGTCCTTCATTTGATATGCTAATCATGGATGCTTTGTAGGTGCTGGAGCTGGCAGGTAATGCTTCTAAGGATCTCAAAGTAAAGCGTATCACTCCGCGTCACTTGCAGCTTGCAATCCGTGGTGATGAAGAGTTGGATTCTCTTATCAAGGCTACCATAGCTGGGGGTGGTATGTATTACTACTTAAGCCTTGATTCTTACTGGTCTTTCTGACTAATATATCGTTCAGATCAATGATACAGTATATTTGATTGGTTAACTAGAAAGCATATAAACTTTAATTTCATAAATATTAAATCTATTACAATTCTAAGCTTCTTTTCATAATGATCTGAATAAATATTTCTCCTTATACTCATATGTAATGCTATTTTTATTTTAGCCAGTTCTTTATCTAAATTTCATATGATACTTAAAGCCTGATGTTTAACATATTTCCCATACCTTTTTAACTGTGTTTGAAAAATGAGTTGGAGAAGTCGCATAACATACACTGGGAAGGGTTGAAATAAATACACTTGAAAAGTGGGTTAGGATCAGTGAAAGTGAGAGGTAAGTTGGTGGTTCTTAATCTTATTTGGATAACCCTCAGAGAACATCATGAAAGCGATGGTTACAGCTGGGTGCGGTGGCTCACACCCGTATCTCAACACTTTGGGAGGCTGATAGGCAGGCGGATCACCCGAGGTCAGGAGTTCAAGACCAGCCCGGCCAATGTGGTGAAACCCCGTCTCTACTAAAAATACAAAAATTAGCTGGGCATAGTGGTGCATGCCTGTAATCCCAGCTACTCAGGAGGCGGAGGCACAAGAATCACTTGAACCCAGGTCGCAGTGAGCTGAGATTACACCACTGCACCCCAGCGTTGGCGACAAAGCGAGACTATCTCAAAAAAAAAAAAAAAAAACTGTGGTTACTCTTCTCGAAAAATGCACAGAAAGTCACACAATTTTACATACAGTTTTAAAGGGTTCACAGACCCGTGGGGGGTAGCCATTGGTTTAGATAGTTTAACAGTATCAGAATATGAAAAGGGACTTAATTTCATTTTTTGTATAATTAACTTCTTACTTGAGGCAAAAACTTTAAAAGTTTTTAATAACTTTTTTTAATTTCATTCTAGGTGTGATCCCTCACATCCACAAATCTCTGATTGGAAAGAAGGGACAGCAGAAAACTGCTTAGAGGGATGCTTTAACCAACCCTCTTCCTCCCTGTCGTTGTACTGTAACTGGGACAGAAGAAATAATGGGGATATGTGGAATTTTTAACAACAGTTAAATGGAAAAGCATAGACAATTACTGTAGACATGATAAAAGAAACATTTGTACGTTCTTAGACTCGAAGTTTGATAAAAGTACCTTTTCATGTGGTGACAGTTGTGTGTTGATTGGCTAGGTTTCTCCCGCGTGTTTTATACAAAAATGGAATTGATAAACCATTTTTTACAAAATTAATTTGTCTCAAAACTGTTCTGTTCATGATGTATTAGAAATATTTTACTCAGACTTTAAGTATTTTAAATCTCAGATTGGTTATTCAGAGTAACCTTGGAACAGAAATTGGGAATATAGCTTTACAATGATTGATACCATGGTATATTGACTCTTACATGCTATTGATCTGTAGCACCATTTTTTACAAACCACTAGGAAAAAAATCTGCCAATTAAATCATGATACACCATCAATTATGAGACATCCCAATTTGAGAGGTGTTAGATTATGGAAAAGTGTGCATTTATGACTGAAATGCTAATGGAATTATTTGAATTCTATACTGAGCACTTACCATTTGCCAGGCCCTTTGCTGAGTGCTCTACTGACTAAGAAATTTTATTCCCCCCACATTATAGATGTGGAGTCTAAGGGTCACAGAAATTGTATGCTATGCCAAAAAACGTTCAACTAGTAGATAGAAAATGACAGAGCTATGATTCAAACCTAGATCTGGCTGACTTCAGACCCTGATGTTCAGTTTATCAAAGGTTTTTCCTTTTGGTTTAAAATCCCAATTTTTGGCCAGGCATGGTGGCTCACGCCTGTAATCCCAGCACTTCGGGAGGCTGAGGCTGGTGGATCACTTGAGGTCAGGAGTTCGAGACCAGCCTGACCAACATGGTAAAACGCCATCTCGACCAGGCACAGCGGCTCATGCCTGTAATCCCAGCGCTTTGGGAGGCCAAGGCGGGCGGATCACAAGATCAGGAGATTGAGACCATCCTGGCTAACACAGTGAAACCCCGTCTCTACTAAAAAAAGAGAAGAAAATTAGCTGGGTGTGGTGGCACGTGCCTATAGTCCCAGCTACTCGGGAGGCTGAGGCAGGAGAATGACGTGAACCGGGGAGGTGGAGCTTGCAGTAACCCGAGACGGCACTACTGCACTCCAGCCTGGTGACTGAGTGATACTAGGTCTCAAAAAAAAAAAGTCTGTACTAAAAATACAGAAATTAGCCAGGCATGGTGGTACATGCCTGTAGTCCCAACTACTTAGGGCACTGAGGCACAAAAATCACTTGAACCCAGGAGGCAGAGGTTGCAATGAGCCAAGATCACACCACTGCACTCTAGCCTGGGCGACAGAGTGAGACTCTGTCTCAAAAAAAAAAAATAAAATCCCAACTTTTAGTAGTCTCTTAGTGATGCAATAACAGTAATTTGTACAATCTTTTAAAAATTATTTTTATTTATCAGTTTCCAAGAAACTTTTTTTGTTTTGAGACAGGGTCTTGCTCTATTGCCCAGGTTGGAGTATAGTAGCGTCATCCTGGCTCACTGCAGCCTCCACCTCTCAAGCCCAAGCAGTACTCTTACCTCAGCCCTGCAAATAGCTGGGACCGTAGGGACATGCCACCATACCTGGCTAATTTTTTTATTTATGTAGAGACAGAGGTCTCCCTATGTTGCCCAGGTTGGTATTGAACTCCTGGCTCAAGCCATCCTCCCCCCTTGGCCTCTGAAGTACTGGGATTACAGGCATAAGCCACCATGCCCTGCCCTAAATAACTGTTAAACTTGAGTTAATGTACTAGTAGACCCTTAGAAAATTATATTTTTCTGCTTGCAAGTCTTCATTAAAGAAGGAAATTTTTTAATGTTTTATAGTATAATGCTCTCCAAACTCATTTTTTTAAACATTTTATTATGGAAATTTGCACAAATACACAAAAAGAATAGCAGAATGAAGCCCCGTGTACCCATCCTCCAACTTCAACAGCTGTCCTGTGGTCAGTCTTGTTTACCTGCATCCCCACCTGTCCCCTGCCCCAACCCACAGGGATCAGTTTGAGTCCCATTACAGGCATAGTATTTTCATGTCTGTGTGATCAGAAACATAATTCAAATACAACTCTAAAGATAGAGTACTTTTTAGAACATAACCACAATACCATTGTGTAAGACTGCTAAAACATTTTTGATGCCAAGTACCAGTCAATATTCAAACTTCCCTGATTGTCTCATAAGTTTTTTTTTTTAACAGTTGGTTTGTTTGAATCAAGATCCAGACAAGATCTAGATCTTGCATTTTGTTAATCTAACCTATAGATTTAACTTTCCTGTTTTTAATTTTTGAAGAAACTAAGTTCATCCTATAGAATTGTCCTTCAGTGGACTTTACTGAATGTATCCTAATGGGATCATTTACATCTTTTCTGTCCCCTATATGTTCTATAAACTGACAGATCTAGAGGGCTTTTGTTGTTCTGTTTTGCTTTTTCACAAAAACAATTCATAGGTGATATATGCTCCCTGTTGTATCACATCACGGCACATAATGGCTCTCATCTTGTAACATTAAGATTGATAGTAGGTTTGGATGCTGCCAGCCCACTCCATTCATTATAAAAGTTCTCTTACCAGCTTTTCCCCTGATGGATTTAGCCATCATTAATGTTATTTGCCCAGATCTGGGATTCTATCAGAGGTTGCCAACTGGTGATATCTTGTCATTCCTTCTGCATCTATTAGCTGGAATCCTATAAAGAACTTTTGCTCATTAATTCACAAGGCAGGATAAAATAGAAATTTCAAATTCTGATTGGATTATCTAGGCACCCATTTTGAAGTTTCTGTATTGAGAGTCAGGCCTACAGTAAAAGTAGCAATAGAAAGCTGATTGTTTAAAAAAAAAAAAAGGGTGGGGGTGCAATATAATCAACAGACCTTCCTTTGGCTGAATCACTTGATTCAGGGCAATTTTTACTACAGTTTTATAGATAATTGCTTCAAATGTCTAATTCATTTTGGTTGCATAGTTACTTGACTACATAATTTCTTCCCAGGGTTGTACTTGTTTTCTAACAAAAAACGCAGAAATAGAACAACTAGGCCAGGTACTCTGGGCCTAACTCTCACAGTTATCATCAGTCTTGTTTCATTTGTACCCAACCCCATGAGTTATTTTAAAGCATGTTCCAGATATCATATCACTTCATGTATAATACCTTAATACATATCTAAAAGATAGCTTTTATTTTTTTTAATTTTTTTTTTTTTTCCAGACAGAATCTTGCTCTGTTGCTCAGGCTGGCCTGCAGTGGCACGATCTCAGCTCACTGCAACCTCCACCTCCCAGGTTCAAGTGATTCTTCTGCCTCAGCCTCCTGAGTAGCTGGGATTACAGGCACCTGCCACCATGCCTGGCTAATGTTTGTTTGTTCTTTTGTTTTTGCTTCTGAGACAGGATCTCACTCTGTTGCCTAGGCTGGACAGTCCAATAGCCTAATCTCAGCTCACTGCAACCTCTGCCTCTTCTGCCTCAGCCTCCCAGGCAACTGGGACTACAGACATGTGCCACCATGCCCAGCTAATTTTTGTGTGGTTTTTTTTGTTTGTTTTTTGTTTTTTGTTTTTTTTTGAGACAGAGTCTTGCTCTGTCACCTAGGCTGGAGTGCAGTGGCCGGATCTCAGCTCACTACAAGCTCCGCCTCCCGGGTTTACGCCATTCTCCTGCCTCAGCCTCCCGAGTAGCTGGGACTACAGGCGCCCGCCACGTCGCCCGGCTAGCTTTTTGTATTTTTTAGTAGAGACGGGGTTTCACCATGTTAGCCAGGATGGTCTCGATCTCCTGACCTCGTGATCCGCCCGTCTTGGCCTCCCAAAGTGCTGGGATTACAGGCTTGAGCCACCGCGCCCGGCCTTTTGTGTGTTTTTTATTTGTTCATTTGTTTAGTAGATATGGGGTTTCACCATGTTGGCCAGGCTGGTCTCAAACTCCTGACCTCAAGTGATCCACCCGCCTCAGCCTCCCAAAGTGCTGGGATTACTGGCATGAGCCACTGTGCCCAGCCTAAAAAATATTTCTTATCATTAAAAACACCCGGTCTAACTAGTGTAACACCTAAGAAATCATCAGATCTGTATTTTAGATAGTACAACACAGTGAAGTGCAATGGCACTTCAAGCAGAGAGAAGGACTTCTTTTTCTTTTTTTAAATAGAAGGTGTGAGAACCTGAACTGGGCCTGGTTTGCATTTGGGAAGAGTGCAGTGGGGAAACAACACAAATAAGGTCTTGAGAATGAAGAATGGCTTTTATATGGGAAGTTGTAACAAATGGCCTGGAGAGTATCTGACTCTTTATGAAACATTTAATGAGAAATGTGACTTGCTTTGGTGCCTATGGTTGAATTTATTGCGATGCTTCTGACATTTTATTATGAAAATTTTCAAACATGCAAAAAAGTTACAGTAGTTATCCAGTGAATTTTTATACTCACCACCTGTATCTATAATTAACATTTTACTTGTATTTTATCCAGTTATCAGCTCATCTATGAAATGGCCCTTATTTATTTGCCTGCTGTTTTTATTCTCTATTTGTCCTGTTATTTCTTATTAGAGAAGAGAAGGTGTTCTTAGATCAGAAGATGTCATTGTATTAGGTGACTGCAAGGTTTTGGTGATCTAGTGAAACAAGATTCTACTGGGATGTGTGCTGAGCTGAACCAAGGAACCGCCCGAATGTGCTGAACAAGGACATTTGCTTCTCAGATACGTGAATTCAATTTTAAGCAAGACTCTTGATCTGCTTCAGAGCAGCTTTGATTTAAAGTAATTTCAGAGCACTTTTCCTTGCATATGAGTAATTTTCTGAATGTATAAAATGTTCTGTTTATGTTTGACCTTTCGGATAAACTGTGTTGCTGCAGTGTTGGTCCACACTACCATCCTGAGTGAAGACTTAGTAAGTCTGGGGATCTCCAGGCACTGGAAAGGGTGAGAACCTGGGAGTGAAAGGGTTATAGTTAGTGTCCGTTTTTCAGGTTTTGTTTCACAGGGAGTCCTGAGTGGAGTAACCTGAAATGTGTAACAGTTGAACACCATCCCATTCCTATCCCCAGTAAAAATAGGCTTTTCCACAATTTTCTACCAGTTAACTTAGCTTTTTTTTTCTCTTCAATAGAGGCTCACTCTTGTCACCCAGACTGGAGTGCAATGGCGCGATCTTGGCTCACTGCAAGTTCAGCCTCCTGTGTTCCAGCGATTCTCCTGCCTCAGCCTCCCAAGTAGCTGGGATTACAGGCGCATGCCACCATGCCCAGCTAATTTTTGTATTTTTGGTAGAGACGGGGTTTCACCATTTTGGCCAGGCTAGTCTCAAACTCCTGACCTCAGGTGATTCGCCCGTCTAAGCGTTCCAAAGTGTTGGGATTACTGGCGTGAGCCACCAGGCCCAGCCAACTAGCATTTCTTAAGGTGAAAATACATGGTGTTAATTTATATTTTGAGTGAGGCCCAGTCCAGCTGCTATAACTGCTTGGACACTTGGCAGAGGACAGAGTACTGCAAAACTTTTGAAGGGAGAGGGCATTTTGCCTTGAGTGCTGTAGATGTACAAGAGAGGTTCCAGGAGGGGGTGATAAGCAGAATTTTGGTCCCCATCACCTTCCATGCCCAGTGTTATGTCTGTGAATGTGTTACATTATGTGGTAAAAGGGACTTTGCAGATGTAACTAAAATTTCTAAAATAGAGATATTATCCTGGATTAGCTGGGGGAACCCAGTATAATTACACGAATCCCTAAAAATGGAAGAGGATGCAGGAGTCAGATTCAAAGGAAGGCCCAAGGTGCTATTGCTGACTTGAAGATAGAGGGGCCATGTGGAAATCGAGAGAAGGAAGTGAATCCTGCCAGTGAGCTTGGAAGAGCACCTTGAGACACAGATGAGAATCTTGGCCTTACCTGATGCCTTGATTTTAGCCTGGTGAGACCCAGAGCATATAAATTTGTTGTGCTGTGCCACACTTCTCACCTACAGAAACTTGGTTTAAAGCCACTAAGCTTGTGGTAATTTGTAAAAGCAGCAGTAGAAAACAGGAATACATACAGGATTTGTGGGCTTTAGGCCCCTGAGGGTAGAGATTTATGACTTGTTACAAGTAGAGAGCAGTGGAGAGTTGGGCTTTGTAATTCTTTCAAGGGTGATTATAGTTCTGGAGTCCTATCCACCTGGGTTCAGATCTTTGTTTGTCAGTCCCTGGCTGTGTGACTTCACTGCTTTAAGCCTCTGTCTTCATCCTTAAAGTAGAAATTATAGTACCTACCTCACTCTTATCTCTGAATGAGAACACACGTAAGACACAGCACAGTTCCTGGTGCTCAAAGACCTCCAACACCTGAAAGCACCATGACCCCATTTTTCAGTCAAGATTTCTAAGAGCCGTTATTACCAGAGGTTCAGTGAGAACATGGGCAGGGTAATCTCAAAATGGAGAACATAAAAACTGGGACTCCCAGGCCAGTCGCTTAGAAGACTGCTGCAGGAAGTACCAAGGTCATTAAGAATCAGTAATAGGCCGGGCGCGGTGGCTCAAGCCTATAATCCCAGCACTTTGGGAGGCCGAGACGGGCGGATCACGAGGTCAGGAGATCGAGACCATCCTGGCTAACATGGTGAAACCCCGTCTCTACTAAAAAATACAAAAAGCTAGCCGGGCGACGTGGCGGGCGCCTGTAGTCCCAGCTACTCGGGAGGCTGAGGCAGGAGAATGGCGTAAACCCGGGAGGCGGAGCTTGCAGTGAGCTGAGATCCGGCCACTGCACTCCAGCCCGGGGACAGAGCGAGACTCCGTCTCAAAAAAAAAAAAAAAAAAGAATCAGTAATAATCAGTAATAATAAGTAATGTGTGAATCCATTAGAATGTTGAGAAGTAGACCTGTGACATTTCAGAAAAATGTATATATCAGACACAGCCATATATATCGGTATCGCCAAGTTGGAAGAGCATCACAGGGCATAGTTTCATGAAAGCTTCAAAAAATATACTAATTGCTGGTAATATGTGAACAGAAAAGAATAGCCATGTTAAAATAGGAGTGCCTGAGAATTAGCTCTGTTCATCTTGTCTCCTAGCTGTAAGCACCCTAGATTCAAATTATGCACCTAGAAAACTAAATTATTGTGTATGTTATAGACCTTTGAAATGGATACATGAAAGTTAGTGAAATCGGAATGAATGTTTCGCCTGCCAAAGATACGTATTTTTGTAAGTGATACAAGGGCCCCATGAGCTCCGTGGCCACATCTGTACAAAACAGGCCCTCCTTTCGGGAACTGGTCTCGGGAGAGCAAAGGGGTCAGCTCCCTAAATGGCAGCTGAGACAGCCCTCCCTGGTGGCATGGCCCTGTTTCCTGTTGATGTGGTGATGGTTGGAGAGTCAAATTTTTTTTTCCAGAATTTGTGAATATCATCTCTGATTAATGATTACACAAAAGCTTTTAAAATTCTTTTAAATTATTTCTTTCTAATTCTATAAATAAACTGTAGTTGTACAGCCACTGTACAGCTAACATTTCAACACTGGAAATGAGGCTGGTTTATTCCAGTTTGGCTCAGATTCTTCAGGGAAGCCCAGTTAAGACAAATAGCTCTCTATACTCAATCCTTACTTCGCTGAGAAGATACAGGCCTGCCCACTCATTCCCACCTACTCTTCATGAGAGGTCCTTTATTTCTGCGTGTTTCCTGTTCTTTGGGACCTTTAGGAGCTACCCTCTACAGATATTGATAGTCTGTAGAGTCAGGAATACCATGTGACATGTTAAAGTAGACTCTAAAGATTAGTTATTTGGCAATAGCCCAGTTTGGACTTAGTATGTACTTTTGAAAATAAAACTGCTTATTTTTAAACTCTGTAATTAGGACGTTTTGCTATTTGAGTTATATTCCTTTCTAACTTCAAATGTCTGCATTCATGTATAATAGCCATTTTATGCACAGGTGAGGTGGTTCCCACACTTTCACAGATGTTTCATTACCTAGATGAGTGTATTACATAATAAATTTGAATAATGGTAGTCTTCCAAATGACAAAAAGCAAGCTAGTTGATTTGTCAATTTTGAGTTTAAATGTTTTGACTGCTTATCAGCGAAAAATTCAAAGAGTAGCATACTGCTATTAATGGAAATGCAGAGTATATTTAATTAGCATGATTTTTCCATGGATATGTGTGCTTCATTTGATCTTCTATTGTATGTAGCTCGTGATCACATTTTCTGTTGGTTAACGTCGTTCCTAGCTTATATGATGGAATTAAATATATTCTGTGTAAAAAGAGGTATGGACTAAATATTTCTGGACAATGACTTTCAGCTTTAGAAACTCTGAGAAAGGACCTGGTGTGGTGGCTCACGCCTGTAATCCCAGCACTTTGGGAGGCTGAGGCGGGAGGATCACAAGGTCAGGAGATCAAGACCATCCTGGCTAACACGGTGAAACCCCGTCTCTACTAAAAATACAAAAAATTAGCCGGGCGTGGTGGCAGGTGTCTGTAGTCCCAGCTACTCGGGAAGCTGAGGCAGGAGAATGGTGTGAACCCGGGAGGCGGAGCTTGCGGTGAGCCGAGATTGCGCCACTGCACTCCAGCCTGAGCGGCAGAGTGAGACTCTATCTCAAAAAAAAAAAAAAAAAAAAAAAACTGAGAAAGGGCTGGGTGTGATGGTGCACACCTGTAGTCCCAGCTACTTGGGAGACTGAGTAGGATTGTTTGAGCCTGGGAGGTCGAGGCTGCAATGAGCTGTGACCATGCAACTGCACTCCAGCCTGAGCAACAGAGTGAAATCCTGCCTTTAAAAAAAAAAAAAAGGAAGAAACTGAAAAAGTGAGTCCTCCCCTCTCTGAAGGTGTTGGAGAGGGTGGACGTAACCAGCCCTGGCCACTCTCAGGCCACACTCTGCTGGAGTGCCTCAGGCTCCTCTCAGTTTTCCATTTCCACAGCAAGAAGTCAATAATACTTCATTTTACAGATGAGGAAATTCAGGCAGAGGAAGATGATTCAACATCCCAGGGTCACATAATCTGAAGTGGGAAAGTGCTGAGAATCTGGTCTGTTTAGCTCCAAAACTTGTTTTTTCCTGTGGAAGGGGACAGTCACTAAACATTTCTTTGAAAACCTACCAGCCTGTCTTATGTGGATTTATCTCATTTAACCTCCTGAATTAATCTGGGAAATAAATACCAGCCTCATTTTACAAGCAAAGAAATTCAGTTTCAGAGATGTTAGATAGAGTCTGGCACAGTGGCTCACACCTGTAATCCCAGCACTTTCAGAGGCAAGTGGATCACTTGAGGTCAGGAGTTTGAGACCAGCCTGGCCAACAAGGTGAAACCCTGTCAAAATACACACCCAAAAAATACAAAAATTAGCCAGGCGTGGAGGCACGTACCTGTAGTCTTAGCTGCTCGGGAGGCTGAGGTGGGAGAATTGCTTAAACCCGGGAGGTGGAGGTTGCGGTAAGCCAAGATTGTACCGCTACACTCCAGCCTGGGTGACAGAGTGAGACTTTGTCTCAAAAAAAAAAAAACATGTTAGCCCAAGCCCAGGACATGGCTCCAGTTGATGACACAGGAATCTGAACCCAGGTCAGTGCAAAAAGTCTCACTCACAAGTCTGCTTAAGGGGGTCTGCAACTGACCTGTGGACATGCGATGGCACTTACATTCTTCTGGTTTGCTTGAGGCCACACGTAGAAAAGTATCTATAAAGCCCTCACGTTAATGTCTCACATGTAGAGCCAGGTGGCCTTTTGAGCTTAGGTAGCTTTGTGCCTGTTTATCGTCTGGGCTTTCAAAAAGAGTTTGTGGAATAGGTATCTATGAGATGTACATGTATTTCCTGGATGGACAGAAGCCATGACTCCCTATTTAGTATGGAACCAGGCAAGCCTGGCACTCAGTATTCAGTTTAGCACTTCCTGCACACAAGCAGGCTCATCTAGTCTCCAGTCCAGCCCTACAAGCCCCTCACATGCCCAGAATGCCCGTGGGGAACTAACACTCTGGGAATTGCCTGTAGACTCCATAGCCTCCTGCCACAGCTGAGTGTGAGTGTGGACCTCAGCAGCTGAGGAACTCTGCTCCAAGACTGCTTGGTGGAGTTCAGCAGCAAAACCCTATGTGACAGCTTGTCCTGTCAAAAACTTGCTCCTGCTCCCACACATGCCCCAACACAAGCTGCTTTTTTTTTTCTCACTTCTCATCAGGGGCATCAATTCCTCAATCCCCGTTCCACTTTGACTGCCTCTGCCCACTTCCTGCTATCTTCTTCCCCAACAGCCACATACTTCTGGAAACTGTCATGAGAATCTGTTTCAGATATTCTTCCTGGAGCACATTCGTACTGTATTCACACATTGCAGAGCACACATTCTGATCTTCAGTTCTGACCGTTTCTTCAGATTTACACACATCCTGTCATTTTCCACTCCCTATGCTCTTGTAGTCACCTCCTAATCACCCAGTTTTTTTTGTTTTTTTAGAGACAAAGTCTCATTGTGTTATCCAGGCTGGTCTCAAACTCATGGGCTCAAGCAATCCTCCTGCCTCAGCCTCCCAAAGTACTGGGATTACAGGTGTGCACCACCATACCCAGCCCAGTTTTCCAGTTTTAACCCATTCTACATACCACTGGCAGACCGTCCATATACCACATTTTAGACTGTCCCTAAAATGTGGCCCTCTGAGTTTGGCAAACCCTGCTCTAGTCAGTGCCTGTCTCATCCAGAAAGGCAAGGCCTTGTGTCTGCATCTGAGGACACATACTCAAGCTGCTTCCTCTACTGGTCCTCTATCATCAAGTTTGGTTTTCTCCCACCAGTGGGTGTGATTTCCTTTCCAGTTCATCCTCTGGTCCTGATGTATTTAAAGTCTGCCATATGCCACTGCAGGGACTTTGCATGCAAACTGCTACTGTCCGGCTGCCACCCTCAAGAAGCTTAAAACCTAAGTGAAGGAAGGAGACATGGGCATATAGATGGATTCCAGGCACAAGGCTGCATATTGTTGTATGACAGGGCGCCAGATGTGCGGTACTGGCCCCTTCCCATTGTCCAGAGATTTTTTTTTTTTTTTTTTTTTTTTTGAGACAGAGTTTTTGCTCTTGTTGCCCAAGCTGGAGAGCAGTGGCACAATCCAGCTCACTGCAACCTCCGTTTCCCAGGTTTGGGCGATTCTCCTGCCTCAGCCTCTTGAGCAGATGGTATTACAGGCACGTGTCACCATACACAGCTAATTTTGTTTGTATTTTTAGTAGAGACGGAGTTTTGCCACGTTGGCCAGGCTGGTCTCATACTCCTGACCTCAGGTGATCTGCCCGTCTTGGCATCTCAAAGTATTGAGATTACAGGCACGAGCCACTGTGCCTGGCCACAGATTGTTTTTTCAAGTAAAAACTAAGATTTTTTTAGGCCGGGTGCGGTGGCTCAAGCCTGTAATCCCAGCACTTTGGGAGGCCGAGACCGGCGGATCACGAGGTCAGGAGATCAAGACCATCCTGGCTAACCCGGTGAAACCCCATCTCTACTAAAAAGTACAAAAAAAAAAACTAGCTGGGCGAGGTGGCGGGGGCCTGTAGTCCCAGCTGCTCGGGAGGCTCAGGCAGGAGAATGGCGTGAACCCAGGAGGCAGAGCTTGCAGTGAGCCGAGATCCGGCCACTGCACTCCAGCCTGGGCGACAGAGCGAGACTCCGTCTCAAAAAAAAAAAAAAAAGATTTTTTTTAAAGCTGGATGTAGTGGCTCCTGCCTATAGTCCCAGCTACTTAGGAAGCTGAAAGCAGGAGGAATCCTTGAGCCCAGGAGATCAACACCAGCCTGGGCAGCATAGCGAGACCCTCATCTCCCCACCAAAAAGAATTTTAATTTTAAGGTTCTTTTATAAGGTGTTCTAAGGGAAAAAAAAATGTTTTTAAGTTTTCCAAAGTACCCACATATAAACACCTCAGAGTTCAAAGGCGGAGATTTCCACTCAGTGGCTAGGAGTGTCCTGGGAGTGTGAAAGTGAGAGCCTTGGAGATGGGGATACCAAGCTAAGGGAGGGGAGGGAAGGAGAGAAAAAGGGAGGGAGAGGGAGGACAGAAGGGGGAAAGAAGAAGGAGGGGAAGGAGGAGACGGGAAGAAAAAAGAAGTGGAGGGAAGGAGAGATTGAGAGGGAGGCAGCACAGACAGGCAGGCATTCCACAAGAGAATGAGAGCTGTGGCATGTCAAGTTGCTGAGGGGCAAATTCCCTCCTGGGATCAGTAGGTAGTAGAGACTGACTGAAAGGGAATGCCACCCTATAAGGGGTTAGGTTTTGTAGGGTGATGCTTACTCTCTGCCTCACGCTGTTCACATGTCCACACCACTGGTTGATGAATCTCCTCACACTGCTTTGAGAGTACAAAGACAAGTCCAGTAGCAGGGTGGAGGATGAGTTTGGGGAGGAAGAGAGCTTGGGGTAGACAATCGGAAAATGAAGATCACTGGATCTTAATGAGATGGGGTTGAGTCTGGATTGGCATATCTTATTCTACTCCAAAGACATGTGACAGTTCTGCACCAACAGCTGAGGAGAGAGAAAAAGAACCTCTTGAAAGCAACAGCATTCGAACCATTTTTCCACACCAAGGAGAGTTACAACCCCAGAGTGGGTCAAGGCTTTGAGAGGACCCTGAGCCCTGAGGCCTTGGCCCAAGAGCAAGTCCTCAGAATTATGATATAGTCTAAATTGCCACTTGCCAGAGGAGAATGGGAGCCCTTTAAAATTCACAAGTAAGTTGTTCTTGGGATAAATCCCAATTTGTTCCTGTCTGCTGATACCTTCATCCTTCCTTGGTCAGGAAGAAAAGAAAATAAAACTTCCTGTTTCTCCAGTACAGTCCAGAGATGACCAATCACATTTACCCACTTTTTTTTTTTTTTTTTTTTTGAGACGGAGTCTTGCTCTGTCACCCAGGCTGGAGTGCAATGGCCAGATCTCGGCTCACTGCAAGCTCCGCCTCCCGGGTTCACGCCATTCTCCTGCCTCAGCCTCCCGAGTAGCTGGGACTACAGGCACCCGCCACCTCGTCCGGCTAGTTTTTTGTATTTTTTAGTAGAGACGGGGTTTCACCGTGTTAGCCAGGATGGTCTCGATCTCCTGACCTCGTGATCCACCCGTCTCAGCCTCCCAAAGTGCTGGGATTACAGGCTTGAGCCACCACGCCCGGCCAACACTTTTTTTTTTTTTTTTTTGAGACAGAGTCTCACTCTGTCACCCAGGCTGGAGTGCAGTGGTGCAATCTCGGCTCACTGCAATCTCTG